GATACTTTGTATGTAGCAAAACCTTCCATTGTATGCCCCTGAGAAACGATCCAAATGTATTACAGTGTATTACCATGTGTAGTCCCTTTGTTCCTAAAAGAAGGATAGTATAAAAACTGAAGTCTAATCCCACCCTCTTCGTTCAGAATTGCCTATCTCTATATGCCTCTGAACCTGCGCAAATAAACCTCTCTGCTAAACCCCTCTGGAATTCGTAAGAGTTCTTTCGTTTTCCACAAGAATACTAACTCAATTTTTAAAAGTTAGGCGTTACTTTGTTATTAATATGAAAAAGGATCCCATTTGTTTCCTTACAATATAATAAAGTATCCAGGGTACCTTCCTTTGCACACATTTACCAGGAATTAAGCTTCAGTAAGCCTACCACATTGACAACACGGTGTTTTCCGGATGTTTTGAATTATACTGTAATCCCTCAGTTTGTTGCCAATAGCTTTGCTGCTTGGAGCTATTAACGGTGAAGATTCAAATACGACTGGGAAGGAATGCTTTAAGGCTGTTTCTCAACCTTGACAACTTTGTGTGGACTGCAATTCCCAGAACTCCTCTCTCCAGCATGATAGCTGGGGAATTCTGGGAATTGAAGTCCACCAATTTTGAAGTTGCCAAGATTCAGAAACAAAGTTTTAAGGAATTCCCTTAATTCCCTGGATCTGCTTGACATCAAAAACACTCATTTCAAAGCATACACAGCTGGAGCACATCATTTTGTCTTTCCCAAATTAAGGCATTTCTGTTTTCTTTCCTAGCATAGCATACAATGTAGCCTAGGAATATGAAACATACATACATATTTTTTTAAAAGTCTGTCAACCTATCATTATCAGAAAAAGGGAATGGTTGTTGCAGAGTGCAATAGTGTTGTCTGTGGACTTTATGCCTTTCTCCCCAGCTCTCATTTTATCTCTAAAAGCCAGATCATTGAAAACCAAACTGTCAATATTCAACTTGAGAATCCAAATAAAACTCCAGGTTCATTTCTTCTCTGAAATTCTTACTGTTTATTGAATCCACTGAATGGTAATGTCAAAGTAAAACTAACTCTGAGGTTCCAACCCCAATTCATAGACTTAATAATTTCCCCAGCCAAACCTTCAAAGTCTTATGTAGTCCATATAAACAAGTTCACTTTATTATGAGAAACGGCTGATTCAAATCCACACTGGTTCTGGTATCTTGAAAAGGTTTCAGGCTCTCACGGTCTTCAGCTGAATTGTAGAAGTTTCGTTTCTCCATCTAACCCAGTGTTTCCCAACCTTGACAATTTTAAGGCATGTGGACTTCAACTCCCAGAATTCCACAGCCAGCATTGCTGGCTGTGGAATTCTGGGAGTTGAAGTCCACATGCCTTAAAATTGTCAAGGTTGAGAAACACTGATCTAACCCCCTTGGAAGTACACCTCCGCCCTTTAATCTAAAGGGAAGTTGAAATGCAGAGGCACACAGCTGCCAAATTTCGTCCTTTTGGGGGGGGCTGAAGCAGCATTTAGACCAGAAAGCATGATCTTGCATTGTGTCAAAATCAAAAAATGAATCCAATTCATGAATGCAAATTAACAGGGATTCAGTCTGTCACTAGTCTCCCTCCATGGAATTCATGGTTCTTCAGAGCTCAAGCGTGTTTTACATACTTGCCACTTTTGTGTATTTACCCAATGCTTAACACTACCAAGAACTCATAAATCCCAGCATGAGACTGAGACTCATGACTTCTCAAGGTATGCTTTAAAAAAAAGTCAAAATGGCAGCCATGGTGCAATAGCTTTGCCTGGTGTTTTTTTTTTTTTGGTGTTTTTTTTTTTGCACATATATATCATGGGTGCACAATGCAGAGCTTCAAACACAGCTGTGGCCATCTTGACTTTTTTGATCATATCCTGCAGACTCACCTCCCCTCCCCAAATATCTTATGCCCAGCATTTTCTGTTATATCAAGCCGGCTGCCCTGGTGGCACAGTGGTTAAAATGCAGTATTGCAGGCTAACTCTGCCCACAGCCTGGAGTTTGATCCTGATCCGGAGCTCAAGGTTGACTCAGCCTTCTATTCTTCTGAGGTTGATAAAATGAGGGGGCCAATTGTTAACACTGTAAATCACTCAGAATGCCATAAAGCCGTTGCGGCCTCTGACCCGACGTAGATCTCAATTAGCTCCTTGGTTCACCGAGGAGCTGAGAGAGATGAAACGCCGGAAAAGACGCCTAGAGAGCAGTTGGAGGACTACCCGAACCGAACCCGACCGAACACAGGTAAGGACACATGTTAGATCCTACCTTGTGGCAATGAGGGTGGCGAGGTCTAACTACTACTCC